TCTTGAGAGGCTCAGTTGCTGAGAATCTTTCCCCCCCCCCCATCCAATGCTACAGTATTGGGCCAGATGAGGACTGCTGGCTGCCAAAATCAAAAGGATGCTAATAGGACAGTGATGGCGAACCTTTTAGAGACCGAGTGCCCAAAAACTGGCCCCGCCCCGGCTCCACCCCCTGCCCCGCCCCACCCCGCCTGCCTGCAGGGCCACTCACTGCCTCCAGGGCCCGCCACAGATCACCCAGGCAGCCCAGCAGCGCCATGGTGGCCACGCCCTCTGCCCACGCCCCGCAGCATCAACTGTGCACGATGGGGCGTGAGGGCAGAGTCTTGTCTACGCTGCCTGGCTGCCATGTCCTTGGCTGCACTGCTCCGCGTGGGCCACGCTTGGGGGTAACTCTCCTCCAGGGGGGCTGCTGGTGAGGGGGTCATGGGGGGAGGCAAGGCTGGGGCAACGGCACGTGTGCCCACAGAGAGGGCTCCGAGTGCCGCCTCTGGCACCAATGCCATAGGTTTGCCACCACTGTAATAGGACATCCTGTGTGCATCAACGTGGTTATGGTTTTCCTCTTTTCTGAGAAGCAAAGCGGAAGGGTGTGTTTGGCAGGTGCTCCGAATTAATCTGGCCCTGATTTCAAAGTGTCGGGAACGAGGGGGTCCCCGAGCTTGCTTGTTTTCTTGCAGACGTTTCATAACCCAAACTAGGTTACATCATCACTACTAGCGCAGATTTGACTATCCCTGATGATGTTAGGGTAACGAAACGTCTGCAAGAAAACAAAGCAAGCTCAGAGAGCACCAAGGATCCCTCACTTCAGCCCTGAGCTACAAATATTCTCCTTTAGAGTTGGGAATTCTTTTTTTTTTCTTCTTCTTCTTCTTCAATATTTTATTAATTTTTTTATAGTCACAAATCCTTAATATTTTATCAGCAACATATGGTCTGGGTTCCAATGTTCAGTTTACTAATACGTGTTAAATTCCTTTCTCTCTACCTCGTTTTTCTAGCCATTGATAAAATGTATCCCATGTTCTAAAGCAGAGGTCTTCAAACTTGGCCCTTTTATGACTGGTGGACTTCAACTCCCAGAATTCCTCAGTCGGCCATTTTGATGAAACTGCGGGCTTGGATCCACCAGACCAGCGTGCCTGGCTGAGGAATTCTGGGAGTTGAAGTCCACCAGTCATAAAAGGGCCAAGTTTGAAGACCCCTGTTCTAAAATAATCTGAATCTTGTTCCTCTTTCATTTTTAGTGTCAGTCTGTCCATTTCTGCACAATCTAAAATTTTCTCAATTATCTCTTCTTCGGGAATTCTTTCTGGCTAAATGGGTGGGGAACCCTTCCTTCCCTCCCTCCCATTGGAAGAAAAAGAAAGGATGGAGGAACATCGCAGCTGCTCCAACACTTGGGATCCCCACATTTTCTTTAAATCATCAAAACACAACTTCCTTCTTCAGAAGCGCTTACACAGGCAGTCCTCGATTTACAACAGTTCACACTTAGTGACCGTTTTTCACACTTACGACCACAGCAGGATCCCCATGGTGACGTGATCAAAATTTGGACGCTTAACAACTGACTCATATTTATGACGGTTGCAGTGGCCTTGTGTGTGTGTGTGTGTGTGTGTGTGACGTGATCCTTTTTTGCCACTTTCTGACAAGCAAAGTCAAGGGGGGGTGGAAGCCAGATTCACTTCACAACCGTGTTACACACTGAACAACTGCAGGGACTCACTTAACAACCGTGGCAAGACAGGTCCATAAAACGGGGCCAAATTCACTTAAGCAACGTCTCGCTTAGCAACAGAAATGTCAGGCTCCGTTGTAAGTCGAGGACTACCTGCAATAAGACTGACCATCGCAGCAGAAGAGAGAAAGGGGAGGGGGGGGAGGGAAAGCTTCCATCCTCGCTCTACTACAGCCAGATCGGCCGGGCTGAGGGGAAGGGGGGAAAAAAAAAACCTCCCTTCGCCTCCTCCTTGAAATCCACGTCACTCTGCACGCGCTCAGGAATCCCGCTTCACTCTGCACGTGCTCAGGAGTCCCGCTTCCTTAATCCACTTCACTCTGCACGCGCTCAGGAATCCCGCTTCCTTAAGCGCCTTCCGAAAGCGAGACCGTCCCAACAGGTGGGATTATCAGCCCATCCCAAGCCGCAGGTCGCAAGAGCGAGGCACTCTGCACATGCTCCGGGAGCGCCCTGCTGGAGCGGCTTAAGGCCGACCCTACGCCTGGCGCCCCGAAGGCAAGAAGGAGAGAAGCGGGCGAGGCGAGGGCGGTGCTTTTCTCCGGCCGATCTCACCCACCCACCCGCGGCTCCTCCTCCCCGCTTCCTCCCCTCCGAGGCGGCGGCGGCGGAGGCGGTGGCGGCGGCGGCGCTTGGGACTCGTCCTTCGCCCGGCTGCTTGCGCGATGTGAAGGTGCGGATCGCAGAAGCGGCGGGCGCAGCGCGATGGAGCGCACCAAGCTGTTCGTGGCGCTGGATGTGCTGTGCCTGGTGGTCGGTAAGGACCCCCCCCACACACACACACCTCCCTTCCCTCCCTCCCTCCACGCGGGACCAGAGAGGGGCGCCCCTTTTTCTCACGCCCCCCCCACACCTGGCTCCGAGGTTGGACCCTGCCTGAATGCCTTTATCTTTGGGGGGGGAAAGGGGGTCCAGAGCCCCCCCTTCCTTTGCTTCACATCTCCCTTCCAAAAGACGGATCATTCGATGGATTGATTGTTTGAGTAGCTGACTGACTGGTTGATTGACTAGTTGATTGACTGATTGATTGACTGATTTCCAATCTGGGTCCTTTAGCGGTCATTTCTCCTGGTGGGAAAAGTTTTATACTTTTTCTGCTCCTCTTAGAGTTGTTTTAAGCCCCCCCCTTTCTCCCTCCTTCCAAAGACATTTTCTGGGGTGCTTTGGGGGAGCCCCATAGAATTGTGAGTTTTTCTTCCCGGTAAATGTACTTTTCCCCCCACCCTGTCTCTTCCGTCCTTCTTTGCATTCCTGGGGAAGGAAAACTCCCGGGGACCCGTATGACAAACTCATACTTTACCAATTTGCTGTGGAGCCTTATTCGTTATTCCTTATAATGCTGCCGCCTCTTTTATTGATACCAGCTGGGCGGGGGGGGGGGGGGGGAGAATGCTCCCCCTTCCATTGGAGAAAACAGACCCAACATCTCTGTTTTTCTGGTTTGAATGCTGTTTGAATCTGCCTTTCCCTGTCCCTTTCTAAAATAAAGTAAAATAAAACCCTTTTCACCCAAGGATTGCATTCGCAGGACACGCTTAACCTGCTTCCCCGAATGAACCCCTTTTCCTGAGTTCACGCAAGATCCAGAATTAACCCGAGGGCTGATTTATGAGACTTTCAGAACTGCCAACCTGGGTGCAGGCGAACAAGCTTCGTGCAGTTGTGTCAATGCAAGGGCTGTGTCTTTTGTTGTTTGAGGGGATTGCATGGGTTGTGTGAATGCTCAGCCAGGCAGAAGGAAAGATGTGAACTCGGTGCTTAACTGTAGATATTTGGGGGGGGAAAGGTTTTGCGCCCGGTGTTTCTCAACCTTAGGAACTTTAAGTTGGGTGGACTTCACCCATCTTAAAGTTCCTAAGGTTGAAAAAACACCATTTTGTGGCTTCTCAATGGATTTTCTTTCAGGAAATAGTCAGCATAGCTTTGGAGTCCAACAAGATTAATCATAATTAATTGAATCACGGTTTAGCGAGAAAGTTTAGACTTTTCTGCATTGGCAGCCCCCCAAACAGACTGCCTGTCCCACTAGACCAGGGGCCTTCAAACTTGGCCCTTTTATGACTTGTGGATTTCAACTCCCAGAATTCCTCAGCCAGGCACGCCTGGCTGAGGAATTCTGGGAGTTGAAGTCCACAAGTCATAAAAAGGCCAAGTTTGAAGGCCCCTGGCCTAGACTAAGCTGGCTGGTTTGAAATATAATGTGTGATCTGAACCCCTGGGCCCCCAGTCCCCAGTTTTTTCCCTCATGATCAGAATGACGTATCAAACTTCAAGGACTCGGTCGTAATTCCCTTCCTTCAATGTTGTAACTTTGGACAGCCGCTGAAAAAATGGTCGTAACTTGAGGACAACAGCGAGTCCTCGACTTACAACAGTTCATTTAGTGACTATTTGAAGTTACAACAGCACTGAAAAAAGTGACTTTTAACCGTTTTTCACACTTACAACCATTGCAGCATCCCCAAGGTCACGCGATCAAAATTCCGACACTTGGCAACTGACTCATATTTACGACGGTTGCCGTGTCTCGGGGAGCATACAGTCCCTTTTTGCGGCCTTCTGACAAGCAAAGTAAATGGGGGAAGCCGGATTCACTTAATGTTATGAACGGCTGCAGTGATTCACTTAACAACTGTGGCAAGAAAGGTCGTAAAATAGGGCAAAACTCACTTAACAATTGTCTTACTTAACAAAAGAAACTTTGGGCTCCATTGTGGTCGTAAATCGAGGATTACCTGTACTGTATTATAAAAACAATCTCACTAAGTAAGAATTAGCATTGGTCATTTCATTGATTTTTGTCTTCACAGGAATATTTTGGGAGATTTTGGAATATAGTATACAACATGGCAATCTTTAAGTCAGTTTTAATGTCCCTGTTGTGATGGGTATTGGGTTTGTGTGCTGTAGCACCAATAAAAACTACTTTTACAGGTAGTCCTCGGTTTATGACCACAACTGAGCCCCAAATTTTTGTTGCTAAGTGAGTTTTGCCCCATTTTACAGCCTTTTTTGGCCAAAGCTGTTAAGTGAATCACTGCAGTTGTTAAGTGAGTCATGTGGCCATTAAGTGAATCTGTCTTCTGCCATTGCTTGTTGGAAACTGGCTGGAAAGTTTACAAATGTATAAATACATTTGTATTTATTTCATAAAGACATCTCGGTTGCCAAGCACCTGAATTTTATCTACATGGCCAACAGTCGTAAGTGTGAAATGTGGTCATAAGTTACTTTTTTTCAGTGCTGCTGTAACTTGAAATGGGCACTAAGCAAATGGTTGTAAGTCGAGGACTACCTGTACCCAATTTGGGGTAATTTACCAAGATTTGGAAAGTTTTAGGATTATTTTATGTGATGGGCCCTTTTAGCCAAAACAAGCGGGATGTTGTGACAGTATGCGTGGGAGTGAGTTTTGAACCTGAATTGTTTTGGGGTGCACACCCAGAATTTTCAGTGTGGTTATGGATTTTGGGGTGCATCGTTGTCAGGGGGAGTCCGTCCTGCATTCCAAAATCAGCAAAATTCTTAGGGATCTGAACTGGGACGGGGGTGAGTCCAGACGTGGATATGTTTATAATGGGACTTTCTCAAGGCCACTATTTTAACAAGTGTGACTTTGAACCGGGGATTTTGAGGTCAAAAAAGTCAAGATGGCAGCCACAAACTATGCAACTGCAGGCCTGCCCCCTTTCAGTGTGTTTCATGTTGGTGGGGGGCACCTTCTTCAATTTTTTGATCCTCTCTAGACACCCCCAGGAAAGGACTTTTTAAAAAAGACATAGAATATGTTTTTTTTTAAAAAAAAAAAAACTAAAGCCTATATTTAGTTCAGAATGCTAGCTCCAATTTCATCTTAATTTGAAATGTTTTGCCCTGACCGTTTCTAAACCAGGGGTCTTCAAACTTGGCCACTTTAAGACTTGTGGCTGGCTGAGGAATTCTGGGAGTTGAAGTCTACAAGTCTTAAAGTGGCCAAGTTTGAAGACCCCTGTTCTAAAACGTCCGGCCTCAACTGAGATGTGAATGCAGCTAGTGCTAATATAAATAGCCCCGATATAAATAGGGAAGGGGGTATTTGGTTCTCCTGATCAATATGTGAGTAGGAAGGCCAGCATCTTGACTGACAGCCCATTGATAGACAATTTCATTCAACTAGAGATTTAAATTGCTTTTGTTTAAACATTTTGGTCCCCCTTTTTCAATACTTGTGGCAGTGAGTTCCAGATGTCCAATAGGTATTGGTGTGAAGGTTGAACATCTGTTGTTCTGTAGAATAAAAGCTGGGCAGCCCAGGCAAACAGGGGGAACCTATTTGGAGCGTGATAGAACGAGACAAGCACATCCTGTGTGCTAAGATATGGCACATGGGATTTTGCATTTTTTACGAATGAAGATTAAAAACTAATAGAAAATAACAAGGGGAGGGAGGGAGGGAGGGAGGGAGGAAGGAAGGAAGGAAGGAAGGAAGGAAGGAAGGAAGGAAGGAAGGAAGGAAGGAAGGAAGGAAGGAAGGAAGGAAGGTCAGTGTATCCTGGGCAGGGATGGATGGATGGATGGATGGATGGATGGATGGATGACAGGGAAGCAGGGGAGGGATGGAGCAGAAGGAAGAAAGGAAGTGGAGGGGGAAGGAAGGAAGGAGAGGGAGGAAGAGAAGGAGGAAGAAAGGAAAGAAGAAATAGGGAGGGAAGAAAGGAAGGAAGGAAAAGGGAAGGAGAGGGAGGGAAGGAAGGAATTATGTGATTGAAGCCACCATCTTGACTTTTTTGACCAGATGTATACATCTGAACTGGATTGTATTGTTTCTCTGGGCCACATATGTGTGTGTATGTGGGTATATGCATAATTTATTTTATTTTGTAATCTTTATGCAGTGTATATTGGAGGTGATTACACTTTGAGAGCTGTATTCAACGAAATCTCATTTTAATGTATACTGATTAGTGTACATTTAAAGTGACAATACAGTTATTCTATTCTATTCTATTCTATTCTATTCTATTCTATTCTATTCTATTCTATTCTATTCTATTCTATATTCTATCCTAACCTATCCTATCCTATCCTATCCCTGCAGAAATACTACTGGGCATTTCATGGTTCTTAGCTTGTTGGGTGGAGATGTTGATTTGATTTTGTTGAATTGGAGGTTTGGTCCCTAACAAGTGGCAAACATTTGGTCTCCCCTGCAGAATACAGGTAGTCCTCTATTTACAACCATTTGTTTAGTGGCCATGCAAAGTTACAACGGCATTTAAAAAAGTGACTTATGACTGTTTTTCACACTTACGCCCCTTGCAGCATTCTCATGGTCACGTGATCAAAATTGGCAACTGACTCGTATTTATGACGGTTGCAGTGTCCCCGGTTCATGCGATCCCATTTGCGACCTTCTGACATGCAAAGTCAATGGGGGAAGCCAGATTCACTTAAAAATTGTGCTAATTACTTAACTGCTGTAATTCACTTAATAACTGTGGCAAAAAGGTCACAAGATGGGACCAAACTCACTTAACAACTCTCTCACTTAGCAACAGAAACGTTGAGCTCAATTGTGGTCGTAAGTTGAGGATTACCTGCAAACGTCTGAATGGGGGCGGTGGTCAGGGGTTCTATTCCTGTTTCGAACCATTCAGGGATGAAATAGACTAGAGCAGGGGTAGGCAATCTTGGCTCTTTTATGACTCGTGGACTTCAACTCCCAGAATTCCTGAGCCAGCCATGCTGAGGAGAAAGGGAGAGGTTTCCAAGCT